TGCATCTGTTCAACAACTTCACTATGCTGTATGCTAATTTGCTGCACACCCTCTACCTATGGACTGATAACTTCCATTTCAATGTATCTGAAGAAGTGTGCTTGCACACAAAAGCTTATACCTCGAATAAAACTTGGTAGTTTTTAAGGTTGCCACTAGACTCAAACTTTGTTCTGAGGAGATACAGTGAATTTAAAGCCTGATGTTAACATGTCCCTCCAAATTTCACTTTTCACATTTTATTTGAAAACCAGCCAGTTCCATATTGCGAAGGACACTATTATTTTCATTGATACTTAATCAAAGATATTTACTTTACTTATTAAGCCAACTGGATCCTTTTATCAGTGATATTTTCACCTTAACCTGTCCTATAACCTGCATAAAACGGAACTTCAATTTCACTAAACCTTTTATTTCTTTGATAGTTCATTAACAAAAACCAAAGACAGCACAGAAGAAATTTTTTTATTGGCCCTGTGTTCCCATTAGTGCTGACATACCAAATTTTCCACTGATTATTGAGCAAAGATGTTGAGTGAAATGGCTGTTGCTCCAGTCATCTCTCAGCACATTTTGTAAAGGTTACTGGAATAGTGAATTCAATTAATCTTTACTGTCAAGTGTTTTTGTAAGCACCCTATGACAACTTTAGAGCTCAACGCTAAATATTTGGGGCTTCCTTTCATTACCTCTCTATCATATGGGCTTGCAGGTAAAGACTTGTCAACATTATTTCCCAGCTGCTGGCAAACCTATCTGCATTTGCCACATGCTGTTTGGCGCACAATTGGAAACACTGCTTTTAGAAAACTTGCAGTGATCCTCCTCCTCCACCTCCTCCTCCTCTGTTTCCTCATACACCAGGTGGACATTTTTGGGGAGACTGGGTGAAGAACTGGTGAGGTACCTCCAAAACAGCATGAGGAATGCATACGGCATGCAGTCTTCCAAAAGTGGTAGCATCATTCTGAATCAAATGGAACAACACTGGAATAATTGTCCCAGGCAGTTTGCACAAATGCTTATGCCTGGAACATATTACGGGCTCCCTACCGATACATCCAGGAACTAGAGCCAATGAGTAAAGCTACTGAATCATTCAGACCATCTTTGACTAGATGGCACTCCAATTCACAGCTTCAGGGACAATCTTTACCTGGCCTTATGACTGGACTGACTTTGACGTTAGCTGTGGTACTTAGGGGATATTGAGCCCCGAATGATTACCTTGCTGCTCCACACATGTTATATAACTTTCAAAAGCTTGGCACCATCCTCCGGTATTTCTCAACAGAGAATTAATACCGCAGTGATGTAACAAGGCTCAAATGTTCTTGAGATTTTCACTTGTTTATTTCCACAGCTGCAATCGTGTTAGAAAAGCCTCCCATAAAAGCAATGAAGAAATAATGCTTATTGAAAACACAGGACTGTGTGAACGTTCAACATTTTGGTTCAAGCAGAGCTTAAAATTCTGTCTTCGGAATCCTGGTCTGCCAGTTTTGATACATGAACCCAGGGCTGTTATTAATAACTGCATTTATATGCCGCGTTTCTTCCCTCATAGAAATCAGGGCTGCTTACATAAGAGTCCCAAGCAGGCTCCCATTCAGACACTGACTTGCTTAACTTCTGAAAGGCTGTTATGTAGTGTGCTCATTATACCTTCACTGAGCTCCTCGTACTTCTACTGTTTCCTGGTGGTCCAGCACCAGCCAACATTAATTGCTGATATGCACATGTAGATACATGCCACACAATGTAAAACAAGCAAACAAACCAATAAGTGAGAATCACAATGAAGCAAATATTTGGTCAGATTTGGTGCTGGGAGCAGGAATCAAAGAACATTAGGC